GTACAGAAGGAAAAGGGTTAATGATGTTTGCTCATTCTATTGCTAGGTTTGAGATGCTTGATGCTGCAAAGAACAGGCTCCGGGTGAAGGTCAGCTACTTAATGATTGCCCTGACAGTGGCAGGATGCATCTATATGGTTATTGAGGGCAAGAAGGTAAGAGCCGGCTCCTCTCTGTTTCTGCATGCTTTGCCCCAAAGACAAAGAAAGCCACCATTGTCTCCTCGGTTTAGTCTGAGAAGGGAAAGGTCTAAGAAGAAGAAGAAGCCCCTTTTACGTCAGACTGAATGCTTACTGCGTGGCATACTCTTCAGAGTGGTGACCTCATTTGTACCTCACAACAGCTTTGTTAGGTAGATGCTACCCTGAGATGAGGAAACCGTAGTTTAGGAAGCTTTAGCAGGGGGCTGATGAGGGGGCTCAGCAGGCAGAGGCACTTGTTCACAGGCCTGATGACATGTGTTTAATCCCTGCATCTCACAAGTGGCAGGAGAGAATCAAGTCCTAGGGATTGTCTTAGCACTTCCACATGTACTCCAAAGTACGTGTGTGTCTGCACACAGAGAGAGTAAAGCAATTTCGTTTGTTTGTTTTGTTTTGTTTTTTGAGACAGGGTTTCTCTATGTATCAGTTTTGGCTATCCTGGAACTAGCTCTGTAGACCAGGCTGGCCTCGAACTCACAGAGATCCGCCTGCCTCTGCCTCCCGAGTGCTGGGATTAAAGGTGTGTGCTACCACCGCCCGGCATGCAGGACCTGTTTAAAGTCAGATGTGAGAGCCTGAGAGAGAGGCTTTCTCACCACCACAGTTTATAATGAAACTGAAGCTTACACATGCACCATGCATTTCCAAAAGTCACATAGTAGGTGGAGAGATAAAAAACTTAGATTAAAAAAAAAATCAAAAGAAAAGCAAAACTTTAGATCTGATTTTTCATGTTACCAAATGACCTATTATAAACTACCTTGTTATTAAAATATGGTTACTTTGGGGGTGAAAAGATGGCTCAGTGGTTAGGAACATTTGGTGCTCCTGCAGAGGACCCAGGTTCAATCCCCAGCACCCACGTGGCAGCTCACTACCAACTGTAACTCCAGTTCCAGGAGATTTTCTACCTTCTCTGGCCTTCACAGGTATCAGACACACATGTGGTTACATGTACACACATGCAGGCAAATATTTATACCCATAAAATAAAAATAAATAAGATCTAAAGCGTGTGTATATATGTGTGTGCATTCAAATTCAAGAATACACCTTGACTATCATGTCTAATTCTGTCATAGCTTTCACTTAGAGCTGTCCTTTAGCTGCTGTTACAGACTAAAAAGATTCTTCTGCCAGGCAGTAGTGCCTTTTAATCCCAGCACTCAGGAGGCACAGGCAGGTGGATCTCTGAGTCGGAGGCCAGACTAGTTCCAGGACAGCCAGGCTACACAGAGAAACTCTATCTTGAAAAACCAAAAAAGAAAAACGATTTATCTATGAACTGATCTCCTTATCCTGAGCAACTCCAGAGTGAAGAGGACATGAACTCTTGACTCTCTGTGCCTTGCAGTCACATAAGAATTCTAGCCATCTTAGTCCGGCCTCACAGGAGCACAAAGGGGCAAGGGTGCTGACCCGAGTGACGTTCTCTTGGAAATGAGCCTGGCCTACTTCCCTCTCCCTGTCTCCCCATTTGACCTCTCATTCATAATTCTCAGACGGAAGCCTTCAGAAGCCTGTGCATAGACATGTGCATTTCTAGAATCGGAGAAATATTTGATGTTAAAAATCTCCAGAACAAATAATCCCCCTAGGGTGTTGTCCTCCAGCACCTTCCAAGGGTGTGTGCTAGAATGAAAACTTTAGAGCTAAGTGTGATTAGGAGAGATAAGTTAGTGACCATTCTGCTTTGTCCTTACCAGTGATGTCCTTTCCCCTTCCTTTCCTCCTCCCTTCAGATGCTTCACATGTCAAATAACAGGGGTGTCAGAAAATCCCAGTTTTTGTGACTGCGAGATTCACAAACTTGACATAAAAACAGGCCTGATTATATAAGCTTCATAGAAATTTAACAGTTCACACTGAGGGAAGCAAGGAAAGTGACTTCTGAGGATAGATCATTCTAGAAGTCTTCATGGGTAGTATTTTGGTAAAGCCTGGGAATCGCAAAGCTAAATGTTTTTGTTAAAAGAGAAGGTTCCAGAAAGCACACTCCCAAGTTAGGGACGGAGAAATGAAAACAGGGAGATGGAGACGGAATGAAGGCTCCCATTATAAATCAGAGTGAAGCGGGGAGAGGAAAGAGACAGGTTTGGAGAGTGAGTGTGTAAGGCAGAGAAGGGAGAGCAATACACTTCTCTCCTCGGATGGGTTGGACACTCAGTCAGAATAGAAGGTGTGTCCAGGACTCTACTGTGCCCAGCACCCAGGCAGCTGACCACTTCTGGCCTGTGCTGCGAGTCAGCCTGCTGATTTCAGCCCAAGGGGAGGACATCTTCCCCAGCCTGGTGTCATCGTCTCTTCATTTTTTTTTTTTTTTTCCTTTTAGGCGGCGAAAAGACATGAGTCTTTAACAAGCTTGAACCTGGAAAGGAAAGCCCGTCTGAGAGAGGAGGAAGCTATGAAGGCCAAAGCAGAGTAGAAGGATTTGCGCTGGATTTGGAAAACCTGGGAGTGAGGTTGTAGTAACAAGCTCGCACTGGAAAGAATGTGGTACGACACACGCTTTGCAGGGATTTATTCCACTTCCCCACTTCTGCTGTAGAGGAACAAATACATTTTCTTAAAGAATGACTTGTCTGTGTTTTTGTTTTGATCCAAGTAAGACATTGCCTCCCCATGTTTCAGAGAAAGTGAAAAAGAGGCAACTAATTTCAAACTTAATATTAACTCTGTGGAGCATCTGGTACCCACCTAACTTCTACTCACAGACCAAAGTTGACGTATCCCCCGAGGCCCAAAGAGTGTGCGTCTTCTCCGTTCTTCATACCATGTCTGAAGGGACAAGAAGACTAGCTGGGTACACTGCCCAGATATATGTTGGGAAGCCAGCCTTCCAAATGCCAGGGTGCCTCTGGGGAGACTGGAGAGCCGCCGGACCACACACTGTATTGTCTAGCATGCCAGAAGGCGGAGGCTGTAGAAGAGCCTTTGAGAATGCCCTGACAAAGTCATGAGAAAGTCTGCCCAAGAGTTTTGAGGTGCTTATCATTCATGGAAGTGCTGGAGGCCAGCTGCCACCTTCTAATCCATGGCTTGGCTCCTAACTAGCCCCTTTGCTACCCCCAGGAAATTAAATTTTATACTTACAAAAATGCCATCCCCATTCTTGTTTGTTAGTGTGGGGAAAATAAGCACTTATACCCCGTGTGTTTCAGTGGGCTTCTTATGCTACCACCGTGTCTGTACTCAGGTGGCTTCTACTCTCACGTGCCTCCCTAGCGCTAACAGATGACGTCATTACAGCCGCCCAACACACTACTTCTCAGAGTTAATGCTTGTGATTTTAAAAGTGTCACGTGCCAGCCGAGCAGTGGCAGTGCACACCTTTTAATCTCAGCACTTGGAGGACAGAGGCAGGTGGGTCTCTGAGTTCAAGGCCAGCCTGGTCTACAAGAAAAGAAAAAGTGCCACACGTGCCACTGTCTGGGAACGTAATACATTTACAATGGAATGTTGCCGATAGCTCCATGATCTAATGTTCTTGATGCTGTCTGTACACTGTTTCATTTTACATATAAATGCTTCGATTTTTGTCACTTGCAAATTTTCTTGTGCATTTTTAGGAAACTGATTTTTGCTGGGTGGCAGTGGCGCACACCTTTAATCCCAGTACTCGGAAGGCAGAGGCAGGCGGATCTCTAAGTTTGAGGTCAGTCTGGTCTACAGAGTGAGTTCCAGGACAGCCAGGGCTGTTGTTACACAGAGAAACCCTATCTCAGGGGAAAAAAATGATTTTTCTTGAGTAATTTGGGACCCTTTTCCAAGCCCATGCTTTGAATACTGGTAAATCCTAATATAGAACTTCCTTCATATAGCAATGCCATTTTCACTGAAGAGCTACAAGAAGTCTGTCTTAAAGTCTGTGATAAAGATACACCACTAATTTATGCAAATCATTTTTTATTGTGTGTAATTCTCTATTCAGTAACATACCATGACTATTTCTTTATGGGTTTAAACTCTTTAGTTTTTTCACATTAATTTTATCTTGGGGCGGGGGATGTACCTACCCATGCCACAGAATGAATTTTGAAGTCCAAGAACAACCTGTAGGAATGTTTTCTGTCCTATGCAGGTCCCAGGGACGCATTTTAGGTCATCAGGCTTAGCAGCAAGTACCTTAACCCACTGAGCCATCTCACCTATCCAAATTTAAATTTTCTGGTCAGAATTTCAGATATGCCCCTTACTGATCTTGCACCTTGCAATGTAATCAAATACACCACCATCTTGACCCCCTATAAGTATGTGTGAGAATATATTTAAGATATATATTCAATTATATATTTGAAATATGTGAAATATATTTCTCAGAACTTTTCAAGAAGATAAGATTCTGCCCACGTTGCTTTCAGTGATAGTACTGAGGTATTACTTTTTAATCTCAGGGTTTTCATCTGTGTGTTTTTCTATATTTACTATAGAAGCCCCATGTGGATCCAGTCAGTATATGGGTCTGAGGTGGTGGTGGTATAGAGATTAGCATAGCTGCCTTTCGGTTAGTATGTAGGGCTACCACAAAATATTTCTCAGTCAATAGTAGAGTTTGGAGAATTATCACTTAAGTTTATTGACAGCAAGTAAGGAATGAAGTTATGGCATCATTCATTGTCCAGTAAATATCAAGTCCTCTAGAAAAAGCCAAGGCTAAAGACAAGACATAAAGCCTGATCTTAGTACTTCCTGTCTACTAAATACATGGCCCATGTGATGTGGAAGTCCCCTCTGTGTGCTGTGATTACCATTAATGAATAAAGAAACTGCCTTGGCCTGTTGATAGGGCAGAACTTAGGCAGGCGGGAGGACTGGACTAAATGCTGGAAGAAAGAAGGCAGAGTCAGGGAGATGCCATGGAGTCACCAGAGATAGACATGCTAAAAATTTTGCTGGTAGGCCACGACCTCATGGTGATGCACAGATTAATGGAGGTGGGTTAAATTAAGATGAAAGAGTTAGCCAATAAGAAGCTAAAGCTAATGGGTTAAGCAGCGATTTAATTAATATAGTTTCTATGTGGTTATCTCGGGGCTAAGCTATCCAGGCAGCTGGGAGGAACAAGCGGCCTCCTGTTACAGCCCATGAAGCCATCACAACTGCAAGGTGATAAATGTAAACCCTGAACTTTATAAGAAGCAGTGAAAAGTTGGAAAGCCTACCTCAGCTGCCTACTGAGGGCAGACAAGCAACTATAGTATTGATAAGGTGATTTCTGAATTGAATGATGTTGAGCAGGAGTTAGGAGGCCCAGTGCTAAAGAGTGGCCACAACCTGACATAATTTCCCTGAAAAGCACAAAATGGCACAATCTAACAAAATATTTAAGAAGATTTTTCTGATAAATGTTTAAGATTCTAAGAAGGCAGAGGCAAGTGGATCTCTGAGCTTGAGACCAGTGAGGGAGGGAATGAGAAGACTGAAGTTCAATTTTATTTCTTTAGACAAACTTACTTCCATCTGCAGATGAGCTTTAATTTTTATTTTATTCAGATTTAAATGTCAAACAAAATATTAGAAAAAAGTTTTCAAGGGGGAAAGGAAGCAAACTGTGATCCTGCTCTCTTGATTCTGATAGTTATTAGGGGAACAAATACATTTCAACTCACTGTCAACTTCATGATCTCAAACAAAATTTCAGCATAATCTTAATTTTTTTTTATTTCCTGCTTTTAACCCCACAAATTTGTACTTTTTCTTGAAAATAAAAGTGTGAAGTCTCTTCTTTTTGTTTCCACATGGTCAGTGTTTTCTTGCCACTCCTATGTGGGTGTTACATACAGCTGGGGGCTTGCAGGTATCTTGAACAGCAGGCAAGAAGCTGGTTAGTATTTATGCTCTTCCAAGGGCTCTAAACAAAACTCATTTCTTTCCTTTAAAATGAAATTCTAGTAGAGCTCCACTGAGATTTTGCAGTTGCTCATAAATCTATTTAATTGAGTGATCCAAGGATTACTAGTTAGCAATCTGGAAAAACAGATTTCTACTTGTCTTTGTGTAGACTCTAGGGACATCTTTGGGAACTGTATCTTGTATAAGTGGAAATACCGCTATTTTTATTTGTAATTTCCTTATATACAATAAATTTTCCCCATCTCTTCAACTATATCTTTATATCCTAGGAAATTGATTTGACATCTGTGATAGTCACCAAATTGGTGAAATACAACAAAAATCACTGTTGCGTGACAGTGTCAATCTGTGTCCAATATTTGTCATTTCTTAATTTGATGTTAAGAAACATAAAAAATACCCACAGGAAACTTGCGTACACTGCAATCAGGAGAGTCTTTAGTAAGCTCATTTGCATCTCTAGTTTGTACTATTTTCTATAACTTACTAGTTTGAATTTTTAAAATGAGACACTTTGAATATATTTGTTAAATTGTCATTTACCCAGAATTGTAATGAATTACTAGATACATATTGTATAAATCTTGATTTTTTTTGTAAATGGGACAACTATAGAATGGCATGTGAAAAACTGTAAATTTTATTTTGTCTAAATGTTGTAAGACTCTGTAGAACGTAAGATATTTTATTAAATTTATGTTACTTTTCTCCAGAAATCAAAAATCTCAACGTATGACAAAATGTGGGCGTTTATGAGCAGCAGGAGACAGTCTGTGCTTGTCAAAAGCAATGAAGAAGGGATCCAGCGAGTCCTCACCTCTGATTATGCTTTCCTAATGGAGTCAACAACTATCGAGTTCGTTACCCAGCGTAACTGTAACCTCACACAGATTGGCGGCCTTATAGACTCCAAGGGTTATGGCGTTGGCACTCCCATGGGTAGGTTACCAGGCAGCCTCTATGTTTTTTCATTAATCTGAGTTGTTGTTTAAAGCGGAAAAGCAAGGACTCTACACAGTTCACAGAAAAATCTTTACCTAATACATCTTAACATGGTATTTATATTTCAGAAAGTTAAAAGTTTTGACATAAAACGAGCTGGGGAAGAGAAAAGAATATAATCAAAATATATTGTATGAATATTTTCACAAGTTGGATATCACTTCCAATTGAGCATATCAAAAGAAAAAATAATTTATATCAGATATCTGGCAGATAATTTCCTTTGTCTAGGTTGAAACATTTGCAACATGTTCATTTTAGAAATATTCAATTCTCAAATTTATAATTATTATTATTATTTTGATTTTTTTTTGAGAAATGATCTCAGTCTGTAGCCCAGGCCTACCTTAACCTTACTGTGTATGATATTGAGATTTTAAATTTACAGGCCATCCTCTTGCCTCAACCTTTCAAATGAACAAATGAGGGATATTGTAAATACAGATTTAAATCAAAACTTCATTGTACATGGCTCCATACTTTTTTGTTTAGTTTTATAGATGAATTAAAAATTGATAATTTTGTTTTGTTTCAAATTTGAAGCTTATAACATTATTAAAGTTAACTAAAAATGAAGGCTATGTTTGTTCCTACAAATATTGTTTCACTGAAAAGAATTAAAGCAGAATAATTAGCAGTGACATATCTATGATATTTGATACCAAGTATTATCTTCCTCTAACATTTCCCCAGTTATATGTGCTAAAATTAGTTTTAGTCATAATAATAAAGTGAAATAAAAATAATATAGGATGATATCATATTGCATACTTGTATTTTGAACCACTCCTGTGGCTGGATGGAGGATTGTTTGAGTCAAGCCTAGAATACTGCAAGATACTACCTCAAAATGAGAATGAGAATGATAATACCAATATCCTCAGGAAAAATCAATGGGAATTTCATAATGTGGGTGCCAATATTTACAAATATATATGTGCTTAATATTTAAATAAATAATTGCATTAAAGGATATATCATATCCTAGGTGTACCTGTAGTGGACAGAAATAAGGGTTCCTAAAATAGGCGGCTCATGCCTTGATAGTTAGAGCCTATAAATGAGTATCTTAGACAAAATTACACTGCACATGTAATTAAATTCAAGTTATTGAAATGGAAAAATTAGCCTTCTTAATCACATTGGTTTAAATATAATCCTAGTGCTATTGGGATAGGCAGACGGGGTCTGCAACTGTAACAGGAATATAAAATAGAAGAGGGAAAAGGGACAGAAAAGGGAGAAGAAAACATACAGTACACAGAGATAGAGTATCCCATGCTAGTGCTACTTCATTACATCATATAACATATTTGTGTGTTTGTTTGTCTTTCATTTAATGTAAGTGAGTTCTTAACTTTAGTGAGTTCTATCTTATTCAAAATTAAGAAGATTTATCAAAATATTTTCCAATCAAACACATCAGGAATGAACTTCAATTCTCTCATAACCTTCACCAGAGAAGTTTGATACAAACAGGCAACTCACACTTACCCCCTTTTATTTTATTTAATTATTTTTAAGTTGCTTTATAGATTTATTGAGCTATATATTTTTCTCTGCTTTCCTCCCTTCCTCTCCCATCCACTTCAACCCTCTCCCATGGGCCCCATGCTTCTAATTTACTCAGGAGATTTTGTCCGTTTCTACTTTCCTTGTAGATTAGATCCATGTATGTCTCTCTTATGGTCCTCA